CCTTTTCTTGCATGTCCAAGGCCAGGGCTTTCACACCACCGATGTATGTTTGTGAGAGATTGGTTGCAGTCTGAGTCAGGTTTGAGTCAGTCCATGTGTATCAAGTCTTCCGCTGTAATTGTACTTACTGAGTCTTACTCTGTATTATCTGGTCGGTTCTGGAATCTGCACCACACTTATGACTGTGTTTCACGAGTATGCAACAGTTTGGTATTGGAGCAGACCAGCATTTGATGACTCATCATCAATCGATCGATTGATAGATCAAGCTGCTCAACTAGCGCTTGATCAACCAATTGATTGATGGATGGATGGATGGATGGATGGATGGATGGATTGATTGATTGATTGATTGATTGATTGATTGATTGATTGATTGTCTTTCACCTGTATTCTGTTATCATTATTCGCAAGTTGCAAATTTTTATTTTTTTTTCCTTCTTACATAGCTAATTAGGTCTGTTGAAACCTATTTTTTTAGTTTGGCAACTCTCTCCAAGTTGCGCGAAATTAGGAAATTGCGCAATCGCGATTAACCTAATTAGTGCTAATTAGGTTAGTGCTAACCTAACCTAAAGATCTAACGACCTATCGGGCTACGGGAAGTGAGCGCCAGCCAGGCACCGCGCCCAATTAAGGCAGATGGGGCCTGAGCACGGCCACATTCAAACTGCAACTTCATGGAACTTTTATTTTTTGCAAATCGCATCTTTTTCGCGATTAAAGTTTGAATCTCACAGAAAATTGTGTATCTTCCTACTACCATTGATCTTCTACTTATCTCATGACCTCATAATGATGCTGAATTCTCCCGATTAAATTTCATGTTATTATGTAATTAAGTATTCTGATTAAATGTTTAATCTCATTTAAACTTTATTCAATTTTATGTTGCAAACTTGAAGCATTATTTAATTAATTATTTAATGTTTGCCAAATTAAAACTCTATTTAATTAAGTTTTATTTCCATTGCGAGGCTATGCCCGCTTAGCTCTACGGGCCTTATTTGCAACAAGGTCGGCCGCCCTAAGTGAAGGCAGGCACGACAGGCCCTCAGGGCCTCGTTTTCAGGGTACCCCCATAAATGGGGAAATTCAGGCAGTTGCACAGCATCAGTTGGTTGAATGAACTCMGGCCCTGGGCCGCCCGTGTGAATGAATGTAAAGCAGGCCCTGGGCTGGGTATGGGGACCGGGCCAAGCACAGGCCGAAAGCAGTTGGGCACATGCAACTACTTCAGGCCCAATGCCTGCATTCCTCGTGACTGGGCCTCAGGCTACCGGGGCCTACTGGAAGCTTCTTGGAC